CCTTTCTACTAGGATCTGCTCTCTCCCTTCTCCCACGTTATTTTTACGCAAGGTTGGTAGTTCACTGATAGAAAACTTGGTTTGGTAAAGAAATCAAACTTTGCAAATCTCTAGGGTTTTGTTGTTGTCTGCCATTGGTTTAAATTTGAAAAGGAAAGGGCTTTATGTAGACTACCAGTCCAAGACCAGGGAGCCATGAGTCCACCTCGGGTGCTGCTGTCACCTTAGCAGCCAGGTAAAATTCCCCTGAACACACTTTTGCTGTATTAGGCATCCGATAAGCCTGAAGTAGGAGCTGGGAAGGTGTAGCCCTCTTGGTCCAGCTCCTTCCAGAAGCAGAGGTGTGTGGGGCAGTTCTAGCTGCCTGCCTCTGTTCCTGGGAGGAATGTAAAGGTCCTTACAGCATGAGGTAGCTCCTGCTAGCTTTGCTACCTGTCACAGCCTGCTCACGCATGCCATAGCCCTTCCTAGGCTGACTGTGCCCCAGGTATGTGGAGCAGTTTTATCTGGGGGCAACAACAACTGGTTGAGAAGCCCCAAGGTAAGTCAAGGCAGCACCAACAGTGGTTCTCAACCTTGGGTACTGCCACATTCAAAGTGGTGGAGGGGTGCCCTGACTCTGAAAAGGTTGAGAACCACTAATGTAAACTATGACTTCAGTGTACACGCGTCAGCTGTACAATAGATACATTTTTATTTGAGAGTTTCTACATCAGTGTGTAAACTGGGGTAACATCTGGAGAGGTTACAACAGCTCCAGCACATTTTAAGGTTGACTTGCAAAACATCTGTGCTTGTGCCCTCAGTTTTTTCTTTTGTCTGTTTTATTTATAGGAATAAGGAAGACCAAGTTGAGAGTCTTCAGTTGTCCAAAGCTTCAAAGTCAAGATATATGTAGTTAGCTAGCAGATTAATTGAAGAGTTATGCTAAATCTTCTAAGAGACTTCCTTTTCCAATATGTTAACTTGTCATCAGGGTGGATTAATTTTAAATCACAATGATTTTAATTAATTTTTAAATAATTTATTTTAAACCTACTTTGCATTCATGCTCTGATTATTTTCCTACAGAAAGGTTTGCTGGTTGGTATAATCATTAAAACATTGATTTGCAATCAGATACAGGCTTCACACTAAAATTGGATACTACCTTTAGCTAACCAGGAAATACTGTATCTATAAATAATCACTTAAAAGTTACATATATTAACAAACAAAGCTGTTAGAAAATGATATATTGTACGTATTTCTATATACTAATAATCTTTTACCCCATTACTCATTTAGTTAAGCTGCATTTGGACGGAAGCTGGAATTCTTTTCAAACATGCAAAAGTAGTATATTGAACTTCGTATTAGTTAAATAGTTATCTTTAATATACAGAATATATAAGCTTATTTTTTGTACCAGAATGTTCTGCATTTATTTATTCAGGTATGGATCACCTTTTAAGTAGTGATTTGATTGTTTCTGTCATCTTTGGCCATGTTTTTCAAAAATACTTAGGTAAACAGCAGGAGTATTTTAAAATTGCAGAGCTAGTGAGCACTTAATTGCTTATGTACTTTCAAAACTTTGACTAGGTTCCTGCATATTAATGTGCTTAAATTCTTTATTAGGGGCCCTTGATCACATGTCAATCTGCTTGGAGACATATGGCAGCAGTGCACAGGGCAGCCCTGATTGACTGCCCAGAGTTGGCCTGTGTGCCCTTGAAGCACAGTGTGGGGAATGTGAAGCTCCCTGCTTGGGTGGAGCAGCAGAGTCCAGCAAGCGACACACTGCCTCCCTTGTGGGTGGGAGGCAGGAGCAGAGCACCATGGGATGTTGGAGGACCATGCTGTATCTGTTCTCAGAAGAGAACATGTACAGATAGGGTGGCCATTGGTTCTGTTTCATGCTGGATCATCCTGTTTTTAAACTCTTTGTCCCCTGTCCATTTCTGAATGAGGAACTGACAGCGAAAAGTCCTGTTTTTCTGTTCATTGGTGGAAATACATGTCAGTCATTTGCCCTCGTGATTCTGTTGGCTGTGCCGGGAGGTAGGGCAGTGCACAGACAGGAGGAGAGTGGTTCTGAGCTAGGGAGGTGGTAGCCTTGCCCCTCACTGCTGATTGGCCAAGGGGCCTGGTGGCCCCACCTCTTGCTGCTGATTGGTTGAGGAAGCATTGGCCCCACCCGTCACTGCTGATTGACTGAGGGAGCTGCCCTTCACCAAGGGGCTGTTCTATATTCTGAAGAATGCATCAGTGGCCATCCTGTGTATAGACATTTACTTCCCAGCAGAAACTCTCCCAGGAGTGATTTACCTCTGGTGGTTCCCAGGTTTTTTCTCCTGCAGCAGTCATTTTTGCTCTGGGAGAAAATGCTGAATATTTGGACGCTCCTGGTTTCTACTGGGAGTGCAGCAACTCTCCCAGAAGAAACTGAATGTCTGTATGTGGCCAAAATTTGCACACAATCTATAGGGAGAAGAACAGTGAGCAGGCTTGGCTCTAGCTGCTGTTACTTTGTTACTTGCAACAAAGAAATATCTTCTCTTTATTTTGCCTTTCAAAAGCAAGGTGTATGTGTTATTTTGGGGTGTGTTGTGTGTGTGAGAGAATACAGTGTATCTATTACTGAATTTGTGTTTTGGATTCCATGGTTGATTTGATTGTTAAGAGCTGAAGAGACACTAGTAAAGGTTGGGTATTGTTCAGAATGGAAATCAGTTGAAAGTATTGGTTAAAGACTGAAGAAGGTCCAAAAAGTCTCCCCTCAAAATGAAATTGAAAATCATCTATTTTTAACTACTGCATTTAACATTCAAAATACTGAACTGAGGAAAAGTGAAACTGAGGACTTGGAAAAATTGAGTTCAGGAAATCAAAAGGGTTCCTAATTTTGGCAGTCTAAATAAATGTATTCTGTCAGTGGCTGGCACCCTATGGTGCCACCCTGGGATCTGGCCTGCAGTGGTCCTGCCTAACCTCAGGTATGGGGAGAATGAGGCAACATGCATGAAGCTGCCTGCTCCCTCTGGAGTAGTGGGGAGTGGGTATAGAGGTTTGCAGCTTTGGACAACAAAATGTTGCTGATACCTGTATTAGATGCATAATTTCTGTATCCTGCTTCCAAGCAGTGTGTTGGAGATTAATGGTGTAATGTCATGCAGTACATTATGGGATGTAGGTCTCTTGGTTTGAAGAACACTGCCTTTAAAACTGGACTATATATAGTCAGCTCTATTCAAGACTTTTTTTCTTTTGGATAATCTAGGCATTTTATTGTTAAGACAAGACTGAGGAGCATGGGAATGGGTTATATTGTGTTGTCTCTAGAGACCGTGATGATTCTATCTTGTGAGAGAAACTTGCCTTAAGAAACAAGCCGGTTTCATCTCATCCAGAGGCTTTTGTATATGTTAGAAGTAAAATGATCCAATAGAAATATTTTCAGTGGACTCTGGCTTATAATAGAATCCAGATATCTTCCTTGCTTATCAGCTGTTCTGGATGATCTTTGATGGACCAGGGTGCTAGTGAATATTACTCAATATGTACTCATCATAAATGAAAATTTAACTGTAAAGTATGCCCTAATTCCCAGCAGACTTCAATTTAGAATGAGGACTTTGGTACCTCTTTGACTGTGATTTTGATACTTGGATTTTCTTATAGAGCAATACTAGATCAGTTATTTATGATTTTTTGTTCCATTTTCTGTAGGTTCCAGTACCACACCTATTTCCATGGTATCAGAATGTCTTCCAGAGTTTTTACCAAAAAAATTAGGAAAGGAGATTAGCATCTGTCAAATGGGGCTCCCTCTTCATTTCTCTCTACACATCTTTCCTTTGGGGGGAGAAGAGGAGGAGAATAGCATGTGAGTTTTTGGGGTTTTTTTGATCTTACAACAAAGCTCTTCTGTTTTATGAACAAATGTGTGTTTATTCTTGTTGGTGGAGGGGACGTGGGGGAGTCCAGAGTGTGGGGGAAAACTATGTTTTTACTTGGACTGGGGTGTAGGTGAGGTGAGATGGTGATTCAGTTTCTGAGGGGCAGAATTCCACAGCATTAAGGCAGACTTTACTGTGGCAGGAGACTACTTGCTTGTTTCTTTTTGAGATATAGCCCTCAAAAGCATGCAAGGCCCTTGGAGGTGAAGCAGTATTTTGGGTGACTTGGTTCCAGACAACTGTGTTTTTGGAAACCTTCAAACGTCATTAGATCTTTGCAGATCAATGCATGAATTGTAGAAAATGGCTTGGTAAAGTAAGTCTAGGTAACCTGTGTTTTGTGGAGGAGGCAGGCTGCTGCCTTCTGAACCAGTTTCAGTTTTGGGGGGGGGGGG